TGCAAACTAAAATTAGATGGATGATCGATGATTAGAATATGTACATAAGTATGCATAATTATAACACAGGCCAACAAAAATGGAAAAATTTGGTGTGGCAAATGTTAAAACTGCTTTTGATAGACTATTTTGTGCTGATTACGAATCCGTTAGTATAAAGCTACCATCAGCTCGAGATTTTGAGATCAACGAGGTCAAACTGTCGAAAAATCGCGTTTTTTGTAATATTTGAGAAGTTCTAGCAAAAAAAAAAAACAAAAGCCGATAGAACCTTCGACTTAAGCATAAATTAAAGCAAGAACTCTCGACTGCCATCTCTGAAAATACCATCCCTACACCTTGGCCCGTTGGTCATCTATAATCATTTATTGAACAATAAAAAAAAAGTGGAAGATTCTGTCACTTGTTATCTCTTTGCGAAAGCTTTTCAACCGTGTGCATTTTATTTTTGAGAATTTACAAATGCAAGGAATATGCAAATGCATGAGCATATGCACAGTATCTTGAACTGCTCTAGTATATATTCGTATGTACAACTTAGGCCGCATATCACTTACTTAATAGCTCCAAGCCAGAATTTCTCACCAAGTTTTTCATCTAGTATTCATAGTTGAAACGACACACAAATTCCCCAAAGAGTTGTTGAGAAATGATGCTGGAGTGGCTGACCATGGCCAGATATGAATCTGGGTCGTTACGGTTACGTAGACTCGACTATTGTAGGAACGTGGAAAACTCGGTCAGGAGTTCTAGTTTAGCCTAACTTTTGTTGATCACCGTGTGGGGCTATTTCGCGTGCAAAATACTTGGCTATAAAGAATTCGATCCAGAGTTTGAGAATTTTTAAAACAATAACAACCGTATACATGGTTTATTTCAAGTCGTTCATTGTTAACGAACCAAATGTTAAGGTTCAGCTAAATTATTTTGAATTAGGGCGTATGTACATACATATGTATGTATACTGTTACGACAGGTAGTAAGCGCCAGGTACTTATTGTTAACAAGCATTGCCCTCGACTTTTCTGTCTATAAATACTGATATATTTCTTAATTTTATTTCAGTGTTGAACTAAGATTGCTTCGATCTGTTTAAAACGCGTCCTTCAATCGCAATAAGGAAGTGAAAATAAAACCATACTCTACATAAAACATAACAGCAAATAAATATCAGAGATTTGCACGATGTCTGCATCAAT